CTTTTCAAGTTCACAATAAAATAAATAAAACAAACTTTTGCTTTTATCCTTCAAATTATCATTTTTCCTTAAACTTACCAAGAATTTCATTGTGGCTGTTTGATTTCTTGTACTTTCGCTTTAAGCTTAGAATGTTTACTAATAAATTCCGCGCGACTGAGCTGGATTTTTATACTCTCACTGAAACACAGAAATAAGAACAAAAAAACTCGTTTGTTTTGAATTTTAGAACAAATCTTGAGCTAACTTCTCCCTTTTTGTTATTAATTATTTGTTGTTGTTCGGCAATGTCAACATGAGTAAATCAAASGAATGCGTGAGATTTTTTTTGTTAWTKCTTACGTTYACACTTCTGTTTTGCAAATCATCATCGCATACGTAAATTTACATAGATATGGGCTTTTGGCGGTAGTTTGTAAATAAATATTTAGAAATAGGTCCTGTTTTGTTTACTAATGATCATATKCATAAATCTTGGGAAGAATTAAAATAGTATATGTAACCGAAAGTGGGGGCCGATAAGGTTACATAATTAACAAACAAAAAAGTGCTATTAATTTTTTTTAGTTTCTTACTAGTTCAATGAAAGAACTAAATTCCAATGTTCAGAGTTTCTAACCACGTGTCTATTCGGCTAATTTTGGCTTTCTTCATGSGAAATTCATAATAAAAACTATTTTTAAATGAAAAATAGAAAACTGAACTGTTGAGCTGAAACTTTTTAGTAGGTTTCCAGTTTATCAAAAGTTATATCTTTGTATATTTGTATATTAGTGAGAATAGATGAAATATATTATATATTATACAACACTTCAATATAGTCCCAACTATTTTGAAGCTGTGGCAAATCAATTTTCTTTCAAGCATCCTAACAACTTATAAGTCCGGATATGCAAAGACAAGTAATTTTTGTAAAAAAAATCTAGATTAGCCAAATCCCTTTCTTTAATTTTGAGAAATTTTGTGCTCTTTTCTATATCATCTGATCCGCAAACCAAGTCAAATACATGTGGGGTTTTATTTACGACACGAAAAGTTTGTCTGTCGAAGAAAAAAATTTAGCGAGTTTACTTCAAAGTTTGGGTTAACAAAGAAACTACAGCTGCGGAATCGTTGATATTGTTCCAGAAGTATTTTAGAGAACTTATTTTAACACAAAGTCAAGTATTTGAGTAGTACAAAGCATTCTGTTAAGGTCATGAAGTCATCGAATACTTAMATCAAAAATGAAGTTCTGGTAACAGAGAGATAGCAGTGGATCTCAGTCTCCTTTGATTTGACTTAACATGTCTTGTTTATTGTTTTTTGTATGAAACGTGTCGTACGAGTAAAAGAGGTGTTTGACAACTTGCCATCCATCAAACTTATTAGTATTTGTGGCGAAACGTGGGTTTTTGAATCGAAACTGTCTATGAGTCTAGCGAATGACGATCCAAAACCGAGCCGAAATTAAAAAAAAAAAAATTAAATTCAATGAAGATGCTGAAGGCCTTTGTATTGGACATTACAAAWTTGAAGAAATTTTTATCATTGCTGTAGATGCCAGATTTATTGATAAATAATTTCAGATGGAGTTGCCACCAATCATGACAACGAAAACAGAAAATGTTGCRAACAGTTTAAGAAAATCTTCAGAAAAATAAAAGTTTCCAATGGGGTCATATTTGTTGGTATAGAGTTACCACTTACAGAAAAAGATAAACGCTAAAAACAGTCAACAATTGTGTGCAACTATAAAAARTTCATGAAAGCATTGCTACGAAGCTTTACTTTTGGAAAGAAGAAAATTATAATAGAGTTGCCAACTCACAAACACAATTTGAGCAAATTTTTGAAGATTTATGTACTATAAGCATAACGCAGCTAGTGTGATATAAAAAAAAAAACTATTTTTGAATTTTGAAAAAAAAAAAAAAATTTGTTTTTACATTTCCATAGGTTCTGCCTTTGAAAATAACATATTAGAGTTTTAAATCGATTTCTCAAATACTTTTTAGTTACAGCCTTCTCAAAGCTCAGTGGAATTTTGTCAATTTTTGATTTTTTCTTTTTCGAACGCAGATCATTGTACGGGCAATATCTTTAAATAGAGGCTTTTCTTTTTACGTTGTACCGCAATAGAGGAGAACCTGTTTTTAGCGACACCGCAGATCGCGTGAACCTCGAGTGCTTATTTTTAAAATATGTATAAATATATCTTTGAAAAGATAATAAATATATTATTATTTTTTTTTATTCTCGAAAATCGCCTTTTTTTAGACTGTTGCACTGGCTGTGCTTCTTAAAAAACTAGCCTATACATACTAATTTTCCCGAGTTAGATTTAAAACAATCAATTAGTTTTATACACAAATTTTTCTCACAGTGTATTTAATAGATTAATTTAACATTGGAACGGAACTTGCTAGTTCACTTTCGTTGGCCAGGCCGAAATCTAAAAGAATTGCCGACAAAAAAAAAACGTTATGATGCGCGAATTAATTAGAATAAATATATATTCAGCATATATTTTAGTCGGCTTATACTTTCGACGCTACAGTTTATTTATTTTCAATAATATTTTTTTTTTTTTTAATTTGGAAAATGCTAATAATACATGTATGTATGTATGCTTGCAGAAATGTGTGTGGCTGTGACGCGTATATTTAAAAAATTCGAAAATGTAATCGAACTGCTTTGAAAATGAGAAAACCCTATTTTACTATCACACTTTGTGTTGGTGGTTAGTTGCTAGAGCGCAAATGTGGATTGAGGCGGGGGTGGGCCCAGCAGCACTAGTAAGCACCCAAACGGACTTATTACCCTTGAAACTTCCCACTATTTTTCACAACACCCTCAAAGAGAGGGCAGCATCAATGTATGCGCGCTCTCTCTCTCTCGCGCTCTCACCTATTTTCGCTCGCTTATCAWGCCTGTGCTTTGGTAAGCGATCCGCTCCGGTACACGGAGGCTGGATAGCTGGCTTAACGGCCTAACTAACAACTAACGGCCTGCTTTGCCTGCTGCCAGTTTTGCGGCTGTCTGTGTTGGTCCATACGCAGATGGAAAAGTCAATTTTTCATCACGGCGCAGCGCGAAGGGTGTTTTTACTTGAAAATCGAAAATTCATTCACGCTAAAATTTATTGAATCACAATTTATATACTCAAAGCAGCCGTAATTTAAAGATTGTGGAGAAAACCGTTAAGCACAGCGCATAAAAATCAATAAGGAAATTCACTAAAATCTATATACAAAAAGAAAAAGATTCTGCCTTTAGTGTGTGTGCGTGCGTGCGTGCGTATGTGATTTTTTTTCTGGTGTGTGTCGATTTTGTAATTCGGAAACGCGATGCGAACGCGAGCATGAATTTCGTTTTACGCCTTTGGCTGCAGTCGAAATCGACGATTGGCAGCACGCGCTGACGCCGACAACGGCATCCACAAACCAATCGTATAGATGTGCGGACGCAGTAACGACGGCAGTGACAGCGACAGCGGCKGAGGCAGCCCACTAAACGGTGTGTAAGAAGTGCCAAAGTGGATTTGGCTGTGCTCGCGCGCTTGTGTGCGTGTGCGTGTGTGCGCGCAAATCTGTGTGTGAGAAAATTTTATCGGAAYTCGGAGCGTAGAAAAATCTATTGACGGAGCGCGTGGTGTTTGTGCCCCAGACAAGTGAGTGCGAGCAGATTTTCGAAAAATATTCAATGGGTAAATTGCAAATTATTGAAAAGTTTTTAATTTTGAAAGTCGAAAAATAAATAAAATGAGATGTGTGGGCGTGTATATAGAAATATCAACAAGAAAATAAGCCAAACTTTAACGTGTGCAAGAAGGAGAAAAAGCTTAGCAGCAAGCAACGCCGCGTCAGCTGCCGCGTACGCGTACGGAGCCGCACGGGGGCACTCTAGCGCTGCTTGTGTGCGCCTATAACAAGCGAACGCTCTGAAAATTTGTGCAAAAAGCAATATATTATATTTATTTAAGAACCCCCACAACTGCAGCGCACATCTCGACGCGTCTTCATTGTTGCCGCAACGCCAGTTAACAATTTCAATATCAGCCTCCTTAATCTTAATCAATTTATTAACATAAAGCCTTCTACCACTCATTATTGGTTATTAGTTAAAAAAAAAAAATTATAGCCTTCGCTCAAAAGTGGCGTTTATTGTGTTATTTATTCACGTTGCTGTCCATTGAGTGGCTAAAGTGTTTATTGACCCATTGTTTCACATATTGCTGAGCTTCAACACATTACATACACCCCCGCACTCACCTCTACACATTCACTCACCTCCCACCACCACAAACACACATTCACCTACGCCACACACACCCCGCAACCCACACTTTCGCTCACTTGTACTCATATCGCAGGCCATCAGAACGTGATTAGTTGCCCTACCCCTTTTTTGGCACAGAAACAGGGTGTATTGCACTCGAAAGTGTCGCTTGTAATTATCCGCATGCATTGTTTGTGTCCATTATTTTTTAAATCAGTTAACGGTTTTATTAAATCATCGATTTCTATACTCATAAATGTGTGCATGAAAGCATATATAGCTGATTCGGAAAAGTAACTTGCTGCGATTCGATTTTTTTTTATCCCAAGTTGGCCTCTTTCGTTTTCTTTCTCTGATATGTTTCCTTAGAGCATAAGAATTCAGCAAAATTATAGTTTTTAGTGACTAATTAGCCTTCAGTTGACTCGTATCCCAAACCAGACCAATCTAAAAGAAATGGATGGTTGTTTTTAATATCATTTTTAATACGGACGGTCTTAAGTGGTTTAGGGTTAGAGGTGTTTGAGATGTCTTTTCATAAAGTCCTTCGGTCGTTCTGATGCAGTTTAAAATTGCTAGTTTCAATAGACTAGCCAAGAAGCAGCTTGTGTAACGATATACTTACACTCAAGATCATATTTGATCTGATCCGGATTGGTTGTTGTTGTTCTTGTMGAGGCAGAATTCTGTCGAGTTGACAGTGCTTGGCCGTTTAACAATCCGAAGCCGTTTCGATTACTTAGACTCGACTGTCGTGGGACCGGCTGGCCCGAACTGGTCAATGTAAAACGCACGTACCAACCGAATAAATATTTTTTTTCCTAGTCCGGGTCAAATTCGATCTCAATTGTATTCATTGGAAACTTGTTTCCATTGCCGGAGTCAGCAAAATCGCTTCGACAGAAATGAGTTTATCAGCAYAGAAATGAGATTACGTATACTTAATTAGAAGCAGTTAAAATCACAATTTCAGAAATAAGATTTTGATCTTTGCKGAGTAAGAGTTTCAACTCAACACTGAACCCTTGTTACTACGACAGTTAAATCTACATTACTGGAAGGAACCCGGAATTATAACCGACTAAAAACTATTCGCTTTTCATTGGGGGACTTTTTTACGATCCGAGTCCACCGCTGGGGAGGGATGTTTAGCCTTTTCACTTTAGCTTGCCTTCAAACGGATGAYTTTGGCTACACAGAGGATACTTGGCCTAACATCAAAAGTCGTGAGCTGCTTGAGTCATATGTAAAATAATCGTTTCTGGCCACTCCTAAACTACAATAATTCCAGGGGTAATATTATAGACTTATACTGTAAATTAGAGATAGTAAGATCGTTCGGTTTGCATGTCGGCTATATGTTATAGGGGTCCGATATCGGCCGTTCCGACAAATGAGCAGCTTCTTTACGAGAAAATTACGTTTGCAAAATTTCAAACTGATATCTTAAAAACTGAGGGACTAGTTCGTATATATACAGMCAGACAGACGGACAGACGGACAACATACTCATCATTTATTTATATACTTTATAGGGTCTCCAACGCTTCCTTCTGTGTGGTACAAACTTCGTGACAAACTTAATATACCCTATTATGGGTATAAAAAATTTTTGCTTCGGGCGCACCCTTTCCCAAGAGCAATTCTTAAAGCAAAAAGTTTATAAAAACTATTAATCTTGATACGAATCGGTCAGTTTGTATGGCAGCTATATGATATAGTGCAGCTTCTTGGATAGAAAAGGATCTGCTAAATTTTTAGATAAATATCCCAAAACCCGACGGACGGTTCAGGGCTCAATAAGCTTCAGCTCATAGAAAACTACGTTTGTTCATTAAATCGAAATTTAATCGATCTGGTTGTTTGGTTGACCCGGATCTTAACGAATATATCTATAGAATTAATTTAAAAAAATTGAGTTCAAACAGTTCCTTAGGCGACATACATAAATCGGACCTATTGAAAAAGAGAATTATTTGCGATTTAAAAATGGATTAAATAGAGTACACTTTTAATGAAAGTTTATCAATAGAAAAGTAAATTCATCACTTTGTACTCAGATTATGCTAGATTAGTAACTTCTTCGTGATGACAAGAAGTCGTTCGTAGCCYTAGCTTGTTCCCTTACTTCTAATTAGTTGTACACCATGGCGAAGGCGSGACTTCAGGTAGTCGATAATGCAAAGTAATTACGAACAGTTAAGATTAGTCGTTTTGATAGCATMAATTTTTGACATCTTATACATACCGTTATTTGTATTCGAACGGCAAAAATACACACTAGGAGATACAAGTCCACCTTCATAATAGCAATAGGCTTCACTTTTATAGGCATTGTTCTATGTCGTGCTAAGTATTCTCGTTATATTTGAAGTACTATATCAATAACAATGTGTGCGGAGATGTTGTGAGCGCCACTACTATGTGCTACTAAACTAATGAGCGCTGCGCTTTGACCAGCATGTATGCATTGACATATGTATGTCTTGATGTGTGTGTGTGCGTATTCCTACTTTACGTTAGTGGCCTTCAGTTTAACTTAGATAAATATTTTCCTTCAATTAGTAACTGTTAAAAGAGAAAAAGGTCAAATATGAATAAATAAAATGTGCCGTGATGTGAAATCCGCTCACTGCTGCTGTTGCTGACGCCGCGGCTGCCAGAAGCTGAGCAGATTTTTTCCAGAAAAACAGATGTAAATATGCATACAATACACATACATACAAGCATGCATGTGTACATACGAAAGTACATGTGGACAAAGGCGAAAGCACACACGCAAACACATGTGGAGGTAAATGTTTAGCTGGACTTCGACAAGCTCAATAAAACGACAAGGAAAGCAAGTAACGGATGTCAGTGTATGTAGTAGAGAAATTTTTCGTAGATTTTGCGAAATTCAAGCAYAAAAGGAAGAAAGTATGAGATAAAGAGTGCGTGTTATTAAAAAGGAATGCAAAGTGRAATAGCTAAAAATACGTGTAATAAAAGAAGAGCAGCCAACTTCAAGACGTCGTAAATAGAGACATGCACACACACACTACCACTAAAAAGTTAACGAATGAGATGCAAACGTCAAAACGGTAATAGAACAGAGATATCGAWGGAGCGTAAAGGAGAGAAAGATTACGCTTAAAATAAGCGAGGGTGTGGGAAAGAGAGAGTGAGAAAGAGAGCGAGATAGTGGCAAGAGAGCGCAATTAAAGTCGAGGGACTGTGTAGGTGTGTAGCACTACGCCGAAAATTGGGCGTTAATAATTGAAAGTATTGAGCGAAAAAGGACCCAAAGATACTATGGATGGGTAAAGCGCCACGATAAGCTTTTGTGCAATGAAAGACTAACACGCCAAATAAACGGAAGCAATCTCAAGCAAAAAAATGCCAATAGAAAGTGTAGAGTGAAAAAAGGAAGTCGAATAACTGTATGAATGAAATTACTTTCAGCTGGTGGGAAAGGCGCTGGTGGTAGTGGAACTTATGTGGATGAATTCAAGTAGTATTATGAAAATACAGAGTAAATGTCGAGTTAAGAGAGAGAAGGCAAGAACTGGTGTTCGAAGGAAAATAACACAACTGGTTGATATKTAAAGGTGCCAAATGGAAATATTTTGTTTCTATATTTCGAATTTCTAACTAACAGGACTACAACTGAAACTTTTTACATGTTTAATATTACCTAAGAAACACATTTTCCACACAAAAATTAAAATTTAAATCACCGAAATTGAGCCCTGCACAATTTTTAGAATATTTGTTTGGAAACTTATGGTTAAACTGAAACTGCTCCTTTGTTCGAACGCCACTATAGCATACAGCTGTCATGTTCTTTTCTGCAAAACTTTGCTTGTCTGATAATATGTTTTCACTGAATTATTAGGTGCAGATTATTGCTGAAAGTAACGCTACATTCTTAAAAGAAAACGTTCAGATCGGACAACTATAGCCTATAGCTGCAGCAAAACGGATCTAGCCAAGAAGTCCTTGTACAGAGAACCTTCTTATTTACTGAGATATTTTAACGAACTCAGGAGCAGATTATTACCCAAGATTACGCCACAATCCCCAAGAGAATTGTTCAGTTCGGATAATTATAGCCTATAGCTCAGATATAAACTGAACTGGTATAAAAACACCCGTCGAGAAGACTACAGGAAATGCCTAGAGCATCTCTTGAGCATTGGGAAGAATCTGGGACCCCCGAGTATGATATACTGAAGAAGGTATCGACAGTGAGGTTCTAGAGTGTGTTAAAATTCGCGTCAAGCACAGCCATCCTAACCGATGATTACTCCTCTTGGATTTMGCAAATGAAATCCATCGGGTATCGCAAAAGATCGAACAGGTCTATGCGTGGCTTATTGGCCTACCAGATTAATCTAACCTAATTGGTATCAACAAGCACCTGCAAAGGGTAGCTTCTATTCAGCCGAAGTTAACATTTGCCTCGTATTTATTATATATTTCTTTATTGAGAGCATTTTAACCTTTTAAGGCTCTATAGGGGTCATAAAGAATCTTTATCGAGATAGCTGATTTAATTATTTAGAAAATGTAAATAATTTAGGCTGTTGAAAACCAGTTTCTGAACGAGGTAATGATTTTAAATGTTGAATAAAGTTAATCGATTAGCCACAGGAGGTAGGTGGTTTATAGCAATGAAATTCAGTGAAATTTTATGTTAGAAGAAAAAGGAGATATGAAATCTTAACCCTTAACTTTATAGAAAGTGTTATAAGACCTTTCCGTTATAGAGCTTAATGTTGAGAATTTTGTTTAAAATTGTAAGTTATATTGTAATTTTTAAAAATAAATATTTTTTATTTTTCATACTTATGCTTATGTTTTTTTTTCTTTAATAAAAAAGTCCTTAAAAAATACATATTTTTTTAATAAAAATTAATTTCAAAAACTCTATTACAGAACGTTTTGCAGTAAACAAGATAAAAATAACCCGAAAACACTATAAGGTACAGCAACAAAAGTAACACAACAAAACAATGACATTAAACGAACAGTGTATAGAAAGGAACAGACAGAAAAACATTGTTAATATATGCCCCAAAAAATATCTTCGAAAAAACGAATAATCATAATAACAACAAACACATCGTCTTCCCAGTGAATTAAATGCACAAATAATTAAATCGAAACACATAATAAATTTAAACTTAAAATATTAAATCAACAAATYTAGAAGCAATAAAACAATTATCAACCATCGAGAACTGAGTGTAGAGAAGTTAAGCTTTTGGAACACCCTGCAAAATYAACGCACCCAAATTGAGAAGCAATAATCGGCAGCAGAGTAAGTTTCCGAAAAAATTATTAATGCATAAAATTGTTGAGAAAACGTCGAGAAACTTACACCGAATTGCGTTTGAGTGAAGCTTGAGTTTTAATGCGGACAGTGGTGACGGTAGCAGTGTGGCAGCGCGGCGATACCGGATGGCAGATAACACAGACCCTCGATATCGTGGGCGGCTCTGTTGAGGCATGTCGTAATGGCCAGAGAGGTAAGTGTGCGAAGCTTTTACATGAAATTGTTTTTATGTATGTACATATGTACTATTAAGTTAAAAATGGACGAATAGGTGAAAGCACATTACAATTTTTATGCTCTTGCAACATGTTGCTACAGAGTATAACAGGTTTTTTCACCCAACGGTTGTACGTATCACCGGAAGGTTTGAAAACTACGCTTCAACAGCCGTTATAACCTCTTTATTTGAAGAAAACGCTTGTGACGCATAAACTTTTTGAGTTCTTTAAACAAATGGAAATCGCTAAGGGCAAAATCTGATGAATACGGTGAATGCTCCAGCAATTCGAACTTTAATTCATAGATTTTRGCCATTGTTAAAAGACTATTGTGACAAGGACTACTATGACACAAGGGTGTCCTGATGGAAAAGGATATTTTTCTTCGGCAAAATGAATCCTATTTTCACGATTTTTTYCCCTCAACTGGTCCAAAAGGTTGCAATAATATTCTGAATTAATAGTTTTACCAGTTTGCAAGTAATCCACAAACAAAATTAATATCGCATCCCAAAAATTGATGCCATAACTTTCTTGGTAACAGTGTTGGTTCGATCATCTGTTTTATGTGGTTTTAGTTACGACACCTTTAATTTAATATTATTGAACCTTATAATCCTTTATTAGCTCCAAAAACTGGCTCCAATCGAAAAAAAGAGTGAATTATTTCGTTGCAGTGAATGTGTCTCTCTCACTCTTATACCSCTTAYTTCTATCGTTTCGAACATTTCATTTCCGGATAGTTTGCTTTCACTCAGAAAAGCTTAGTCCCTGTATATTGATCTAGATTCTTCAYATTCACTAATGGAGATATGTGGATTTCAAGGCAAATATTGCTGTTTTTCTTTTAACTGGTTCTAATATATTTGACTTTTTCAGGTTTTCGAAGAATTATCAAATATCATTAATAATGTATCGACATATGTATGTATACAATATGAGCAGAAGAGAAAATATTCCATAATATGTTGGATTTAAAATTCTTTTGATTCCATTTAAAATTATTGCTGGTATGAATAAGGCAATGAATTCGTTTAGGAAAAAAAACTTAATAGATTAGTGTTATTTAACTGGCTTACCACATACAAAAAATACATAAAAGTTCTTCAACCTGGCATAAAGCAATCTCAACTTTATCTGTTAGAATCTTAATTCTAAAATTTCATTAGTTGCTATTCAATCACATCATATTTCATATTTTTTATTTTYATTAAATTTTTGTTAAACAAATATGCACTCATGAAACTTGTTTCGAACCCATTTCTTTGCATGAAACCTGCTTTAGACGGAAATTTGCTTCGAGAGCCGGCAAGCGGATGAGWTGTTTTGTTATGAAATACTAATTGATCGGCGCCACCAGATAACAAGTTTAAGAAGTGTGATAATGAAAAGAATGTGAAAATTTAAATGCAACATCATTTCCATAGGTGATAGTTTGCATATGAAAAAAAAAAAACAAGTTCACAGGCTTTACGATCTCTTACGTACGCACCATACTGAGCGAGTTGTTTTCAGCATTTGAAATCAAATGGGATTGACCGCAGTTATTTTTAGCTTTTGAGAGGAACTAGTTGTGCACGAAATATGGGATCGTCTGGAAATTCCAAAGGTTCATAAATATGTAAACTCTAGTATATTATGTTAATGGATATTTAAAAGAAGAATATTTGCAAATGTTGGTTTTTTATTGACAAAGAATTTGCGTCGGTACGTTGTAATTTCGAAAATTTATTTTGTCAAAACACAATAAATAATACATACATAAATTATGCAAACATCGCTATGTTAGCTAGAGGGTGTGGCTTTGACATATTACACTTGGGTGATTTTTTTAGATGGATGGAATTTTTCATTGAAGATAATTATCAAAAAATTAATAAAATTACTACTATTATAATTAGRCTTTTATTTGTTTTGTGATATTTCGTGCGATATTAAGTCGAGCCAAATTAGATTATGTTACGTTAGGTTAAGTAAAAGTATTTTTAGCTTTGTTACGTTAACTTAAGAGCGTTCAATGGTCTGCGCTCATCAGCATGTGTGGTGCACTAAGTTTCACTCCAACCACGGCACTTAACGCAATTTTGAACATAATGCCCATGGASATCGCCATAAGGTATATGGCCACGAAAGGAGGCTATTAGACTCAGAGAATCTGGGTCCTTAAAAGAACCGGATATCGTCACACACTTTGACTGCATATCGGATCATCTGGATGATGGACTCGCCGAATCGAATTCTAGCGGCTCCTTCTTTTGCCATATACCGACGAGGAAGCAATGGGTGGGAAGAAGCCGTCGAAGGAGAGGGGCAGTAAGCTCTTTACGGATTGGTCAAAGCTTGGGGGGAAGGTTGGTAGAGGGGTTWACTTTCGGGAGCTTTCTATTAACTMTAGTTTCAGGCTTCCTGACTATTGCAGTATCCTCCAGGCTGGGGTTGCAGCCATCAAAGTAGCAGCAGATTTGCTGCCCCGGAGTGCGTCCTCCTTTAGAGAAGTAAACATTCACTCAGATAGCCGAGCGGCGATACTAGAATTGAATTCATTTAGAGTGCGTTCAGCGTTGGTCGAAGAGTGTCTAACGTCGCTATCATTAGCATCGAATGTCTTTGTGATAAGACTGGTATGGGTGACGCGCCATGGCGGAATCGCAGATAATTGCAAAGCTGGTGAGCTAGCAAAGAAAGGCACCCTGGTATTATTATTGGTAAAATGGGAAYGGGTCGGTGCTCCCGCATCCTCTTGTGTTCTACTACTGGATAAGTGCGCAGTCGCAAAAGCGTATTGTCCCAAGATTAATCGCAGGAGATTTAGCGATTGATGGCTTTGCATTTACCAAGGCTCTCCCTAGTTGTGGGGCTTTTAACAGAGCATTGCCCTATTGGCGTACATGCTGTAAGGTTGGGAATTACCAGACGCCGGCTGCAGAAGCTGTTTGGAAGAACATGCGGTAGAAACAACTCAGCACTTCCTTCTTCAGACATCCCACCGAACTGGCGGGTGTTTAAATTAAGCGCCTTTGCAAGTCAGTATAGGCTACTAAGCTTTTTGCCAATCTGTAAGTCCGAACACAGGAGCTCTTATTTTCAATGGCTTCACAAAGGACTACATTTATCAGTCCACGATCGATCTTTGATCGGCCATCTAACCTAACCTACGTTAACGTAAGCTTAGTTATGTTGTATTAAGTGCACACCAAATTAAATGGCAAACCGCATAACAATGAAAAATATTAAAGTGTCACCTTAAGCTCACCTTTATAAAGCCCACAGGAAAAATTGTAAAAATATTTGCTCCAGCCTTAACACTACTACCTCTAAACCACATTATAATAGCAACAACTGCATCAATGCGCTGTTAAATCCCCAATTGCCTAACAGCAATGTTAACTGAACAGCTTCTGTTGTGTTAACATTGTATGAATAGCATTTGTGCGATTATTTATGACTTTTCAGCGCTAAATAACGGCATGCAGTTGCACAATAACTGACAATTGAGCAATCGAACGCTGCTAGTGCCGTAATACGGAAATTTGGGTGCAGGTGCTGAGCAACGGTTTAGTTGGCAGCATAAAGCTTGTACGCTTGCCATGACAGGTCTTATGATGAACTTATCTACGTTAGCCTTCAGCTGCTGCTACGGTAAGCGAAATGTTGCGATAATTTACAGTTACACTGTCGCATTAACGGCCTGACAGTGACTCGGCCAGCCGTTAATGATAGGCATAATTTACATACATATTTATGTATTTATGGATGTGGTGGTGTGTGTAAGTGTGTGACAGACAAGCATTGCTGCATCTTGCATGTTGCGAGCGTGAGTGGATTTGAAGAAATAACACTCAGCGCCTGCAATCTGCTGCTGCCTTTCATACTCACGATGTCTTTTGCCAATGAAATCTTCACAACACCACTCTCATTATGCGCCGTTGCATTGTCTGTGCAGCTGCTGCTGCAAGTTCGCTTAATGATTGCGGAGTGCGGTGTGGTTTGCGAGTGTGCTGGCTGTTTGGCTGGCTGCTTGGTGTTGATGCAGTCGAGCATTTGTGGGACACTGGCAGCGTTCGAGTGACTGACTAGCTTTGACCTAAATATCTGCAGGGGGAGGTGGTGCGTAGTGCTTTGCATGTGGCAAGTATCATACAGCATGTGGTGTGTGTGTGTGCAGCACATATTACCTTTCTACTTAAGAGGGGGGCACACAGTATGTACATATGGATGTATAGCATAGTGGTAAATATGTGTGAGTATAAGTGCACACGCATATACCTATGCATATGCATGTATGTGTGTGCTTCTGTGTATGTAGAGCGCTTGGTGCCTCACAAGTTCGCCGTTTACTACAGCTGTTTCTGCTGTTCGCATACAACTTTATGTATTTATTGTTGTTGTTGCTGCTACTGATTGCGCTTTTGTTGTTGTCATAACGCCAGCAACGGTTTGAATTCCTTTCACTTTGGCTCATATGAGAATTTCGTCTTGCTGCTAAAGTTTTTCTTTGTTTGCGTCGTTGCCATATATTTTGCATTGTTTGTCATTTTTTATATAAATTTTTTTTTGTTTTTATTTTTTTTTCCTTAAATTTTTGTTAACGTTGCGCTTGTTCTTATTGCTCTTAACGGCCGAGTTGTTGTTGTCCTTGCCACTGCTGTGTTTTGTTTTATTTTTATTTTTTATATTTTATTGTTGTAGTTGTTGTACTCAGCTGTTAGTTGTCATATGCTCATAAATGCTGTGGCAATCTCAGTAGATAATTTCATAGTTGAGAATTTCGCAAAAGCAACAACTTACAACAACTACAGCTGTGTGTACGTGCCAATGAAATGTGGTTGAGTAACACAGTTTGCATGGCTGTTTGTATGTCTGTGTGTCTGTGTGTTACCGCAGCAATTCAGTTGAAACTAAATTCTTTAATATTACATTTCCTAAGTTGTTGTTTTACGGGTTTTTCTTAATATAAATTTTTGTGCCGTTATAC